GAAGGGGGGAGGCCTGGCGACGCTGCGCCCTGCCGGGCGCTCACTGACAGGGCCGGGGGGGCCGAGGCGGCCAGGGAGGAACAGCCAAAATGCCCCCTCGGCTTATGCGCGGGTCACCAATTTTTCCCAGTTCTCTGTGGGAAAATCGGTCCCTCGGCTTATACTCGGGTCGACTTATACTCGAGTATATACGGTAAATGGCCTAAAAACAGTAAAAGTGGTGATTCCCTGTTAGCAATAGTCCAATCACCTCAAAGAGAAACCTAAGAGAAAAGCCTGCTACAGCCAGAATCATCCAGGTGCAAGTAGGTAACAAATGTTAATGGATCCTGCATCTAAAGAGGAGAAACTAGTCCTAAAGCCAAACCTGATTCTTCTCTGGACAGCCAAATCTTTCTTCTCATCCTCCGTAGTTTCTGGGCAGAAAACGTATTTATACAAGCGGGTCATTATGTATTTCTCCACTTGATCCGTCACTTTTTCCACTTTTTCTGGAGGCGCTGAAAAAGACACAAAGACGAACAAACAATTTTTTATAACGATCACAGACTACATGACCGTAACTGACTATACATCAATTAAAAAGCATAAAAGCTATATTACAGTCTAAAAAAATATGAAAAGTTAGAAGATATAAGATTTATGCATTAAAACAGAAAGTATGTTTGTGTGTTTGTCTGTCTGTATCTATGAATACACACACACATAATACACACACACACACATACATATAATACACTTATATATAAAAACAAGAGTCTAAAAGAAGAGCTAGGAACATTAGGGGAGACTGGGGGAGCATAAAAGGTTTGTATGAGAAAAATATATCAAATTTCAGAGTACTCTAACATGGTGAACTAAGTGCTTATTAAGAGAGTTCTAACACATCCAGCTTCTTCCTCAAATCATCACAGCAATTGTTTTAAGGTTAGATAATCTGCCATTTTTAACCTCCTTTTATTAAAGCATCAGATATTATTTGAGAGCCGGTATGATGTAATAGTTAAGGTGTCGGACTAGAAGCTGGGAGACCCAGGTTCCAAAGCATCCTTAGGCATGGAAGGTGACCTGGACCAGTCATCCCTCCAAGTCCAAGGAAACTAAAAATCAAAACCCTCATTGCATCATTCATTGATAAGCTTTGCTATAAATACGAGGTGAGCACAGTGCAAACTAAGCCAGCAACTAAATGGAGCCCTACAACTAGGCGGGAAAAATGCCAAGCAGAACCTAACAGAACATTCTTCATTCTGTAGCCAAAGACTCCCTAGCAACACATCCAGTGAAAGTAGAGAAGCTTTTTTCACAAAGATGTTTAGCTTTATCCAGAAAAAAATAGACCTCCTGCTTTGTTTGTCTCCAATATCTAGATACAAGTGATCCTCAACTTACAATCACAATTGAGCCCAAAATTTCCATTGCTAAACAAAGCAGTTAAATGAGCCATGCCCCATTTTATGATTTTTGCCATAGTTGTTCAACGAATCACCACAATTGTTAAGTGAATCGTGCAGTTTTTAAGTGAGCCTGGCTTCCCCCATTGACTTTGCTTGTCACAAGCTCCCTAGGAGGGTTGCAAATGACAATCCCAGGTCCTTGGATGCTATAACCAACATAAACACCTGCCAGTTGCCAAGCACCTGAAGTCTTGACGATGTGACTGTGGGGATGCTGCAATGGCCTTAAGTGTGAGAACTGGCCATAAGTCACTTTTTTCAGTGTCACTGTAACTTCAAACGGTCATTAAATGAATGGTTGTAAGTTGAGGACTACCTGTATATCTGAAGGTTCATTTGTATGATTTCCATACAGATAGTCTCTGACTTAAAACCATTTGTGTAAGGACTATTTGAAGTTACAACAGCACTGAAAAAAGTGACTAATGATCATTTTTCATGCAACCATTGCAGCATCCCCATAGTCTCGTGATCAAAATTCGGGCGCTTGGCAACTGACCTGTATTTATGATGTTGCAATGCCCCAGTGTCCCGTAATTGTCTTTTGTGAATGTCTGACTAGCAAAGTCAATGGAGAAGCCAGATTTACTTAACAGCCATGTTACTAACTTAACAACTGCAGTGATTCATTTAACAACTGGGGCAAGAAAGATTGTAAAATGGGCAACACCCACTTAACAACTGTCTTGCTTAGCGGTGGAAATTTTGGGCTCAATTGTGGTCATAGGTCGAGGACTACCTGTATCTGTTCAACCCCCTTTTAATAAAAATGCAACTTGAGGATTCTAGAAAGGCTGGGTTCAGGACTTTTGATCCTTGTGGATTAGCCTTCATCCATACTGCACTGGTGGAGGATTTCTTCTTTGTAAGACAGGGACCAAAATGTGTTCCCCAGCATCATCACTGAGGCAAAAGTTCCCCCCCGCCCAAGTCCACTCCAAGCACAAGTATAAAGAAGCACATCTAAAATCGTATCCATAATGTGCATTACCCTTCTCTCCTCCAAGTTCTGTAAATAAAATGGGAAAATATGTAAGAACAATACCTTTCCAGCGAGTCTGTAGCTTATCTGCCACGTTCTGATAGAGGCTCTGAGCATATTCAGACTGTTCCTCAATACTCAACTCCTACAAAGAGAAATCAGTCACGTGTGTGAGAATGGGTAATGTCCCAGATTTGAGAGCTCATAAAATCCAAGTACATATTATTCTGTTCATTGTCCATATGGGGACCAGACTCTTTCTTCCATCCTATAGCTGCCCTATAGTTCAATGGAGGTCCCAATCTTATAAATAACACACTGAACTCTTCACAGCATAATGCAGACACTAGAGGCTGCATATCTTTTTCCAGTTCCTTTATTTTCAGGTCAATCAGTAACTTTAATAAGGTTATCAGAGAAGATGAAAAACATTTACAATCCAGGAAGAAGGGGAGGTTATGACAGGGGAATCAGTGCTGGGGAATGTCAGAAAATATTTAATTATACAAGCATTTCTCCACAAAAATGGCACATGAGAAAATCTAAGCTTTAGCAATCCTTCCTTCCTTCCTTCGTTCCTTCCTTCCTTCCTTCCCAATTTATATTCTGCCAATCTATTAAATTGTGGTATTTATTTAAATGTCTCTACTCTACAAAATTTTATAATACCATAGCCTGCAGCAGCATCTGGGAAATTTCTAAGCTACTGATTGTAAGTAGAATTGTATACAAGTTTGCTCATTTCATCCGTATAGCAAACACACTTCCATATTTCTCAGAAGGAAAGATGACTCTAAGCACACTAGAAGATAGATTAGAAAAAACTTTGTTCCCTGCCTGCATTTCTGTGTTGTGAACAAATCTAAGATGACTCTCCTATTTAAAAAGTAAACTACAGGTAGTACTCAATTTACGACCATCCCAGAATTTCCATTGTAAGTCATGATGGTTTTAAGTCGAGGCACCCACAGGATCAACACATTTTTACAATCTTTTTTGCAGCAGACATAAAACGAATGCAACAGTCGTTAAGAGAATCCATTTACTCCTATGCGTATTTGTTGCCAGAAATCTGTCCCAAGGACTGGAAACCAGCAAAAATCATTGTAAATCATGGCCACATAACTGCAGAATGCTACAACCAATTGCCAAACACCCGGTCATGTGACTGCAGGAGTGTGTGTGTGTTTGCCACCATTGGACTTTCAGAATTGTGTCATAAGTACCTTGGGGGGGGGCATCATAACTTCAAACAGTTGCTAAGTGACTGGTCATTAAGCAAGGACTACCTGTATTTGGGCATATCTTAATCTTCTTTCACATAAAAACAATATAATTTTCTCCTTCTTTAAAGATAATGCTTATGGATAACTTCCCAAGCAGGTCATAACTGAAGATCAATGAATATCCTACCTTCTATTTTTTTTTTTTTGCTATCATCACCATGAAAGGTGCTTGATCCTCTTGGTACTCTACTTCCAGAATTTCACTCTTGCAGAGAAAACCCCAAATGAGTCACCAAGGCCAACAAACCCCTCACTTACCCGCTTACGATGCATCGTGTCCAGGAATAGTTTGCATTGCTTGTAGACCTCCTGGCCAGCCTTATTGTAGGTCTTAAGAAATTCAATGAAGTCCTTGGACACTCTGTCAGTTTCAATGCTGACCTGCCTACTGATAGAAGGACTAGGCGCCTTGGCTTCTGGAACTTCTACAAAAAGAGGGAACAGAACACTGTTACAAATAAAAATTACTCAACCTTCTTGGTCAGAGGTATATTATGAGTGACAGAGGAAAAGAAGAAGCCATTTATTGTAGGAAAAATCACTCTGCACACACACAACACCTTGAAGGCTTATTTTCTACTACTTGTAAGCTAAACTAGAATTTGCCGCTAATAAGACTTTCTCAGATGGAAACTACAACCTCAGATGTCTGCTGCATGACAGACACAATTTATCAAGAGTCAATTTTCTCCAGGTATCAATGTTTAATCAGACCTTTGCCCATGTCCTACCTTTTAGAAAAGTGGCTGGTTATAGCAATTAACTAACACATACTACTTATCAAATCCATTCTAAGAGGCAATATATATAAGCTGCAGTCTTCCATGTATCACTGTGACAAATCTTGTAAAGTGTTTACAGAAGTAACATAAGGGACTCCATTAATCTACTATCACTTGTAGCATTTTTTGGAAACACTGCTTCTATCTTTGCTCAAGCTGCCATAAATTTAAAAGCTACAGCTATAGGACTGTTTTAACACCTTCTGTTTCCAAGTAGGCACTTTATCTTGTTAGTTCTGTCATTTAATTGAAATGTACTAGAACCTGGTTAATGGGATGTAGGTTAGAACAGGGACAGGCACCTTTTGGGGGGGCAGCAAGCACCGTCAGAATATTTATAGCGGATTGTGGATACTCTTAATGTTGGCTACTGTAAAGGAGTAACCTAATCCCAAAACATGTTGACCAAAAGATAACCTAATAGGCTGTTTGCTGCTGTTTTTATAGGTTCCAAAATACTCTGTACCATCAAAGTGGTAATTTCTCTCTCTCTCTTCCCCACCCTTTTTTTTCTGGAAAGGCAGACATACTTCCAGATACAGATAGTCCTTGATTTACAACAGTTCATTTAGTGACCGTTCAAAGTTACAACAGCACTGAAAAAAGTGACATGACCATTTTTCACACTTACAACCATTGCAGCATCCACATGGTCACATGATCAAAAATTTGGATACTTGGCTACTGATATTTATGGCGGTTGCAGTGTCCCAGGTTCATATGATCATCTTTCGCGACCTTCTGACAAGCAAAGTCAATGGAGAAATCAGACTCACTTAACAACCGCATTACTAACTTAACAACTGCAGTGGTTCTCTGAACAACTGTGGCAAGAAAGGTCGTACAATGGGACAAAATTCACTTAACAACAGAAATTTTGGGCTCAATTGTTGTTGTAAGTTGAGGACTACCTGTATTGATTTGTACCCATCAAACATTCTTATCTTGTAAGAATACCTATATGGCTTGTGTGGGGCATGCTTATGAATAAATGAATCTAATAATTAAAAGCAATGTTAAAGGCTTGTGCTGTGCTTTGAAAAAATGGCACTTTCTCGTTTAATTTTTATTTAAAACAAAGATATAATTTCAGAAAATATAATATCTGGCAGATGTACATTATCATCA